TTCCATTTCTGCCTCTGTCAAAACACAGATGAAAGATGTGAGGGGAGGGCCTGCACTGAGGGCCAGTTATTTTTTCCGTTGTTAGTTGGGTTGTGGCCAAATCATTCATCCTCTTGTGGCCTGCCTACCAATAATGATCCTCTCTGCACTAAGCTGCACTGGTTCTCAGAAAGCTGACACTGTTGGTTGCTGTTTGGTCTATAAAGGCCAGCTGGATCTTGAGCTCCAGCAGCAGAGCCAACAAGAATCCAGACACCATCACAAGGCATTAAAGTAGGATTACATCTTCAGACATCAAGTTTTGAAATGATAGATTTAGATTCAGGTGTTGAAAGGACACCAGGGCATGACTTGGTCTCTTCACTATTTTTTTTGCATGTCAGTAATATTACTGAAAAGTGGTGTCGCCTCTGAAAAAAAGAGATGATAGATACAGTTTAAATATAGGGTGTCCCAAAAGTCTTGGCAGAATTTTTAGCTTCAGTAACTTTAGAAATATAAATACTATAAACAAAATTTTTTTTGAAAATTTAAATGTTTACATTTCTCTTGTACTTATTTAGTTTTGTGAGTTTTGAATAATTTGAATAACGAAATTGTTTAGAACCTGTTTCTCAGAACCAAACCCAAGTCAGGAACTTGCAGAACTCCTACCAGGAGGGTAGTATAAGATTTTGCCTTGGATCCGACCACTTTGGGAGCACTGAAAGTGTCCAGGTCTTCAACCTGAACTGTCTATCCCAGAGATCCTGGGATAACACTATACTTAAACCCTCCGAAAAGCAGCAGCAGGATCAGCCCAGATATTCCCTTCAGAAATGTTCAAAGTCTGGCCCCAATTTTAAATTCAAAGGCTAGAAGTGGGGTAGAAGAATGAGAAAACAAAAAGCCATTGTGTATTGTGTACATAAATGTAAGGTATGCCATAGCAAAAACTGACCTGGAAAATAGATGGAGGAAAAAATTCAAGAATTGTTGAGTAACCCAAAAGCCATGTAGACATCCTATTTTAAGAAAATTTAAGAGAAAATTGCTCAGATCTTTTAGAACCAGAGGACAAAGCAGAAGTAGGAAGAATACACTGGGAACTTCCTGAAAGAAACACCCAAATGAAAACTCCACTTAGCAAAAATTGTGATTGCAAGCTTAGTTTTCTAAGCAAAGCAAACATAATTTCATTCACCATTATTATATTGGTTTCTAAAAGCAAAGGTGAATAGTCTTATTATTGAAAATAATTTGAAAAGTATTGAAAACTTCTCAGTTGGGAAAAAACAATCCTTGATTTTTTTTTTCGTTAAACTAAGATTAGTCAATGCCATACCAGCCAAACTACCAAAAGGTTATTTCATAGAGCTAGAAAAATTAGTAACAAAATTCTTCTGGAAGAACAAAAGGTCCAGAATATCAAGGGAATTAATGAAAAGAAATGCTAGGGATGGGGCAGCTAGGTGCCGCAGTGGATAGATCACTGGCCTGAAGTCAGGAGGACCTGAGTTCAAATCCAGCCTCAGACCAAACACTTGACATGTACTAGCTATGTGACCTTGGGCAAGTCACTTAACCCCAATTGCCCCACTTAAAAAAAAATTAAAAAAAAGAAATGCTAGGGATGGTATGGCCTAGCCATACCCAATCTTAAATTGTATTATAAAGCAGCAATCATCAAAACTACTTGGTACTGGCTAAGAAATAGAGTCGTGGATCAGTGAAATAGGTTAGGTCCACAAGACACAGTAGTCAGTGATTATAGCAGTCTACTGTTTGAGAAATCCAAAGACTCCAGCTTCTGGGATAAGAAGTCACTACTTGACAAAAACTTCTGGGAAAACTGGAGAATAATATGGCAGAAACCAGGCATAGACCAACATCTTACACCATAAAACAAAATAAAGTCAAAATGTATACACGATTTAGATATAAAGGCTGATACCATGGGAGAGCAAGGAATAGTTTGCCTGTCAGATTTATGGAGAACAGAAGAATTATGACCAAACAAGAGATAGAGAACATTATGAAATGCAAAATGGATAATTTTGATTACATTAAATTGCTTTTTTGCACAAACAAAGCCAATGCAACCAAGATTAGCAGGGAAACAGAAAACTGGGAAAGAATTTTTACAACCAGTGTCTCTGATAAAGGCCTCATTTCTAAAGTATATAGAGAACTGAGTCAAATCTATAAGAATACAAGTCATTAGCCAGATGATAAATGAACAAAGGATATGAACAGGCAGTTTTCAGATGAAGAAATTAAAGCTATCTATAGTCATGTGAAAAAATGCTCTAAATCACTATTGATTAGAGAAATGCAAATCAAAACGACTCTTAGGTACCACACCACACCTATCAGATTGGCTAACATGACAAAACAGGAAAATGATAAATGCTGAAGAAGATGTGGGAAAATTGGAACACTAATGCATTGTTGGTGGAGTTGTGAACTGATCCAACCATTCTGGAGAGCAATTTGGAACTATGCCCAAAGGCCTGTAAAAACTGTGCATACCCTTTGACCCAGCAATAGCACTTCTAGGGCTGTATCCCAAAGAGATCACACAAATGGGAAAAGGACCCACATGTACAAAAATATTTATAGCAGCTCTTTTTGGGGTGGCAAAGAATTGGAAATTGAGGGAATGCCTATTAGTTGGGAAATGACTGAACAAGTTGTGGTATATGAATGTAATGGAATACTATTTTGCTATAAGAAATGATGAGCAGGCAGACTTCAGAAAAACCTGGAAAGACTTGAATGAACTGATGCTGAGTGAAGTGAGCAGAACCAGGAGAACATTGTACACAGTAACAGCCACGTTGTGCAATGACTAACTTTGATAGACTTAGCCCTTCTCAGCAATGCAAGGATCCAAGACATCTCCAAGTCTCATGATGGAAAGTGCTGTCCATATCCAGAAAAAGAACTATGAGTCTGAATGCAGATTGAAGCATATTATTTGCTCTCTCTTTTTTTCTTTTTTTGTTTGTTTCTTCTTTCTTGTGGTTCCTCCCATTGGTTCTAATTCTTCTTTACAACATGACTAATATGAATATAGGTTCAATATGAATGTATATGTAGAGCCAAATCAAATTGCATGCCCCCTTGGAGTGAGAGGAGAGGAGAGACTGGGAGAAAATTTGGAACTCAAAATCATATGGAAATGAATGTTGAAAACTAAAAATTAATTAATTAATTTAAAAAAGACACTGAGATTAGAATAGCTTTCTAACTTGTCATTTGGTTTGACTCACTGTATGGTAATAATTATATCATACAGCTTGGTTTGGCTGTGTTACTACAAGTTAAGCAAGGTATGTGGGAGGGAGAGGCTTTTTTTTTTTTTAAAGATGTTTCTCATTGTTTCCTATTCCCCTTCAAGATGTCATAAATTTTTTTCCCTGAGGGAGAAACCAAAGTATAATACCCAGAAGTAGCTGTCTTTCATTCACATACTCTTATTTATTTTTATGACCATAAAGAAGTTATTTATTTCCTTGTTAACTCTTTGATGTTATCACTTACTAAGTAAACTTCTATATCGGTGCCAAAACATTTAAAGAATTTTGACCTCCCACTTAGCCTCTCCCTTTCTGAGTTTATCTGTGTGTCTCATATGATCCAAATGTATTTTGTTTCACTTGTGCAATGTATTTAGGCTTCTTTGTTTATCCAACAACCCAACACGACATTTACCATGTGGTCATAGGACTCATCAGAATTTCCAGTGGCTTTTCTAGCAGCTTCCTTTTGTCACTTGTAGATGGTACAGAACAAGACTTTTATTATGAATTTAAATTGTTGATTTCCTTTAAAAAGTATAAATACAGCAGAACTGCCCTCTAGCACCATACTCTGTAGAGTCAAATTTGGTTGGTGGAAGGGAGTCTAAGTCATTAAAAGGAAAGCACTGTCAGGAAGCTTCCTCTAAGAGGCTTTGTAGAGAGTATTATTTTGAAGTTGTGATATCTTTATCTCCTCTCCTCTCTCCTTTCCTTTTCTGCCTCTTTTTTTCCTCATCTCCCCTTCTTTTCTTTCTCTCTCTTCTCCCTTTCAATCTCCCAAAAGTCTTAAGCTTTAAAGCTTAAAACCGCACTAAGACTTTTGGGACAGGCTGTATATAAAACCTTCGTGGTTCTCAACATTCTAGCATTGTCAGTCCTTTCTACTATTACTACTGACCCAGGCTTTGGGTTTGGGGGTATACTTTTCTTTTTCATCTCAGTTTGCTCTTCATTTAAAAAAATGAATGATAACTTGTTTTTATATCCTCTTCATTTCCAAATATATCTTTCTCTCTTTCCCTGCCCAGCAAACTATCTTTTGTAATAAAGATTTAAAAAAAAGAAGCAACTAATACATCAGCTACTTTTTTTGTTTCAGCATCATTTATCAACTCATCTCAGCTGCTGCTGAAGCTATGTCAACATATACTTAAAACATAAAAAATTCTTCCACTCCTGTTGTTTGGGGACAGAAGTGTCTTCCAGGAAGCACAACAGAGCAAGAGACTGATGATTCCAGCTTTGACGATGGTGCCAGTCCAAAAGGGATAGGGTCGTGGCGTGTTTGATTATGTTTTCCAGAGGTTATGAAACAGGAGACTTTGGGGGCTCGGTCTGCCTGTCATTTTGATGCTGTCAGTGTTATGTTTTATATTCTTTAATGATGCTGGGAGGTAAATTACATTCAAAATAGAGTGTCACTGGTAGGTGCATTCCATGTTGAAATGATGTCCTCCTGGGAATAGACAGAGATGACTATGTCACACGTCTCCTTGCCCGTTATGAAATGTTCTACCAACATGGCAAGAATAAGATTCTCGTGGTCTTGAGAGGCTAAGCCCTTACAAAGTTGAAACAACAATTTACTACCTTTTGTAGTTGAATCTTCCTGCATATGTTTGATTCCCTCTTTGAAGAAATGAAAGTTCATCCTTATGGACATCAAGTCCCCAGGACATACAGTGTGGATATAAAAACTACAGACGTGCTCCCCCTAAATACACGACATTTACCAAAGTTTTTATCATCTTTCCTCAGGAGCCATGCTAATCATCTCTGCATCGCTGCAATTTTAGTATATGTGTTACCTCTGTGAGTACTGATTACATCATCAGCTACTTCTAATAGGCTATTCAATATTCCATACCTGTAGTCCTCCACCTCTGCAAAGAAAGAAGGGAGGTGAATTTTCTTCACCCTTTCCTGATTGTTCTTAACTTTTAAAACTGAATTTGAAGGCTTTCCCAGAATTATTTTTCTTAATTCTTTGACACTTATTTATTGTGTTTATGATAATAATATTGACCATTTACACAGTGCTTTAGAGTTTACAGAGTATTTTATATACATTGCCTTTTTTAATTCTCACAGCTCTGAGCTGGGCCTTATGAGGCTGTTCTCTTATTCTTGGAGTGATCTCCTTACTGGCTTCTTTCAAGTGTCAGCTAAAATTCCCCCTTCTACAGGTAGTCTTTCCTGATCCCTCTTATTTCCATTGCCTTCCCTCTTTTGATTTTTTCCAGTTTACCCTGTCTATATCTTCTTTGTACCTAATTCTTTGCATATTGTCTCCTCCATTATGCTGTGAGCTCCTTGAGACCAAAGACTGTCTTTTTGCATCTCTTTGTATCCCTAGCTTGTAGCACAGTGCGTGCTATGTAGTGGGCACTTCATACATGTTTATTGACTGACTGTAGGTATTTTTTATAATAAAACTGAGTCACAGAAAGGTTTAGAGATTTGCTAATGGTCATGCAGCTCATAAGAGCCAAGGGAGGATTAAAACCAAGTTCTCTTCTGGTTCCATGCTTTCGTTACACACACACACACACACACACACACACACACTCACACACATATATATCTTACATCAGTTTGTCTCTCTGGGCCTCAGCTTCTTCATCTGTAAAATGAGAGCTTTGGCCTAGGTCAGTCATTCAGTCAATAAATATTTAATAAATGCCTACTGTGTGCAAGGTACTGTCTTTGCTAAGCCACAAAGAAATGCAAAAGACAATCCTTGCCCTCAAAGAGCTTACAGTCTAATGAGAGAGACAAGATACCACAACTATGGCTGAAGCTGAGCCTGTTGGTCAGACATCAAAGAGGCCAAGGCATCCCGGGTCATCCCCAATTGTTTTGAATTTTGTCCTGCTTCCTGTAGAGGGTGGGATTTTCTTTAGGACTGGAAAGAAGCCAGGGATGCCAAGAGGTGAAGATGCAAAGGGAAAATATTCTTATGCCAGTGGACAGGCAGAGTTAGGAGACGAAGTGTCTTGTGGGACAAACAGCAAGTAGGTTGTCAGTGGATCTCAAGGGTATGTGGAAGGATGTGTAAGGTGTAAGAAAACTGGAAAGGTGATGGGGTGGCGGGATCAGATTATGAACGGATTTGAATGCCAAACAGAGGATTTTTATTTTTCATTTGATCCTGGAAGTGATAGGGAGTCCCTGGACTTTATTGAGTGTGGGGGAAAAGGAGTAATATGATCAGACTTGCACTTTATTTAGGAAGAACATTCTGACCACTGTATGGAGGATGGACTGGAATAGGCAGAGACTTGTTTCAGTGACATCAGTCATCAGGGTACTGTAGTAGTCCGGGTGTGAGGTGAGGAGGGCCTGAATCAGGGTAGTGGCAGTATTAGGGGAGAAAAGGGGGCATATACAGGAGAAGTTACCTAAGGAAGATTGACAGGTCTTGGCAACAGATTGGATATGGAAGGGGGGGGTGAGAGAGAATGAGGAGTCGAATTTGATGCCCAGGCTGTAAACCTGGGTTAGTATGATGGTGTCCTCAACAGTAACTGGGAAGTTAGGAAGAGGGAGAGGTTTAAGGGGAAAGGTCATTTCAGTTTTGGACATGATGAGTTTAAAATGTGATGGAACAACCAGTTTGAGATATCCAGTAGGAAATTGGAGATGTGGGACTGAGGATCACTAGAGAAACTAGGGCGGGATAAGTAGATCTGGGAGTCATTAGCATAGAGGTGATAATTGAATACTGGAAACTGATGAGATTATCAAGTGAAATAGTGTAGAGGGAGAAGAGGGTCTAGGACAGAGCCCTGTAGGATGCCCAAGGTTAGCAAGTGTGACATGCTTCATCAGAGATTCATCAAAGGATCCTGAGGAGCTATCAGATAGGTGATCTGCAAGGTCCCTTACAGTTCTAACATTCTACGTGAAACTCTCTCTGTAGAATGTTGGATATTATTAGCCACTGAGCAAAGGAACTGTTATTGTGTACAGCAGAGCAGTACAAACAGTGTTCCTGAAGGGCTTTCTCAGTAACCCTGGGTCTATGGCCACTTATTTCACCAAGGCATTATTAGACTGTCTAGGCCTCAAACACTGGGTCTAGAGAACATCCGCTCAGCTTTCAGCACCACTTATGACAAAAGGAGACTTCTGGGGGGAACTTCAGACTGACTCTGTCAGCAGTTTGTAGCATATGGACATAGTGAAGGTGGGGTCAAGGATACCAGTAGGAAGCTATAGGGCAGGCTTAACTGGGCAGTTCAGACTATAATTTATTTCATCTTCCAGCCCTCAGCATTATGCAACACTGATATTTCATTTCTTTGGCCTTCAGCTTTTCATCTGGAATGGATAAAAGTCTGCCAGTTCCTGAAGAATCAGTTATGTGTATGAATATACATAGCATGCTATATAATTAATTAGAATTTATCATGTTTTTAATTGTGGTTATTATTACTATTTGAAATTATGCCCTTCCTTTTTAGCTCCATGTGGTTCATTGGAATTCGGACAAGTACCCTAGCTTTGTTGAGGCAGCTCATGAACCTGATGGATTGGCTGTTTTAGGTATTTTTTTACAGGTGAGGACAAATTGATTTCATTTTTAATATTGAATCTGCAAATACCATCTGAATTCCATACACAAGGTAGGCACCCAATCATTTTTCAACAATGAACTAGACTTAAGGTTTACTTTTTTTCCCTTTCAAAACTAAATTAAAAATCTTTTGTATTATAGTTTTTTCATTCAACATCTTCAAAGCACCTTTGATACCTATTAATTATTTTACAGGTTAAAAGGATAGGACCCAAGGTCCTAAGAAGATAAGTCATTTGCTAGCTAAGCCTCATTATACAAAAGATTAGCCAAGAGTAAAAACCCACGCTTTGAATTCCCAGAGTGAATAGCAGTGGATAGTACCAGTTCCTCTAAACAGATAGAATGGCTTTTTATATTTTTGCATTTTTCTTCATCCAAAGAATTCAATCAGACAAGTATCTTTAACATTTATCATCATGATGTCTATGAAACTAGCATGGTTGTCCTGGGTTACAATGCAGCCTGCTCTGATAAGGACAGTACTTTTGCCCTGTCTAAGACTCCATAACACAGCTAGGGAGAAGGGGTACCTGGGATTGAAAGAAAGAGAGCAGATAAGGCACAAGTGAATATTGAGTATAACAACTCTTTTTTTTTTCAACATCCACATCTAGATAGTTTGCATGGAGTGGGGGTTCTGAGGTACCAGACACCATTGCCTTAAAAAGTAGGTTCAGGAAATGTAGCTAACTATTGATAGTGGCATGACCTAACTAAAGAATCTGTATATCCTTTATTTAGGGTAATGCTCATAGTCTCTGACCCAGAAGGTTAGTCATGTTTCTGAGGTCATTTTCACTTCAGTTAAAACAAAAGAAAACAAAAAGCCCCAAATCCTACCACCCACATACATGAAAATGAAAGCATCTTCCATTGCATCTTGAAAATATCAGTTTGGGTTCCTAAATTATCAGCAGAAATCTGGGGATACATTGCCCAGTATTTTGACTACAGTGGTAGCCAGTATGGTCTGGAAAGTTATATCGTGGCTGAACAGTGAAGGTGTCATGACTGAGGATGGAGCATCAGGCTTCTCTCAGAGTTTTTAGATTAATTCTATCAATCCATGGTGACTCATTAAAAAAAAACAGAAGTGCATGTTGGATTCAAACTAAACTGACTGTTTGGCTAAGTAATAGTGTAACATCATCTTATTGTTCTGCCTCATCTGGTATGATAGGGTCAGCAGGTAAATGAGAACTTTATTACTTCGTGAACAATCACTCTTTGTTCTGGGTTACATTTGCTTTACAGAGAATTTGATATTGATATCTGAAATTTACTATGGCACATGTGTAATCCTGGGGAACTACATTCTCATTTCAATTGTGTATTTTTCAGATTGGTGAACATAATCTACAACTGCAGAAAATTACTGATATTTTGGACTCCATTAAGGAAAAGGTAAATGACCTGTTTTGCCAAGTAGATAGTGCCATGCTTTAGATGAACATTCTTAAATGAACTTAAATTAGATGGACACTTTTAGAACTTTCCTCTCTGCTAATTCATGTTGCTTTCTTTTAAGGATAGTTAAAAGGAAAAAAAATAGTGTAGATGTAGAGCAGCTTGGAATATACTTGGCCATAAATGAGAAATGATCCATTACTACCATTCTTTTGTAGAGTGTGATAAGAGTCTTAATTAGATTCTGTAAGTGAATAAATGATGAATCTCATTATTTATAATGGCCCCACTGTTGGAGGAGCTTTACACATTTAATTGTTGTGGGCATGCTTTAAAAAACATTTCTATAAAGGCAACCATGATTTATTTGCTTAAATAAAACAAACAAAATGAAATATTGATTTTTAAGTAAATTTAACTATACTGTACTTTACTATAAAGTTTAATACTAGTATAGTTAAACCATGTTATATAGTTTATGTAATAAACTATATAAACTTTATATGTGTGTATATATGTACTTTATATAATCTCTTACATAAACTATATAGTATGGTTAAACTATACTATATTATACTATACTATGCTATATTATAAAACAAAAATAAGTTGTTTTAACTATACTACATATTTATTTAGTGGCCAAATACTTCTTTTATGTCTTTGGCATTCCTAATAAAGGTATCACCTGGTAACCAGAAAAGTCTCGGTCTCAATTTCTCTCTCTCTCTCTCTCTCTCTCTCTCTCTCTCTCTCTCTCTGATGTCCTTCTGTCTTCTTCTCTTTCTTCATTCTCCTGTGTCTCTCTCTCTTTCTCTGCCTCTCCCTATCTCCAGGGTAAACAAATCCGCTTCACCAACTTTGACCCAACAACTCTCCTTCCTCCATCGAGGGACTACTGGACGTACCCGGGCTCCCTTACCGTTCCACCTCTTTTGGAGAGTGTCACTTGGATAGTTTTAAAGCAACCTATACATATCAGCTCTCAACAGGTACCTTCCCCTTCCTGTCTCTAAGTTGGTCTTTATGTTTTAAAAGGAAATTTACCAGAAGATTTTTAATATATCTTAAATTAAGTTCAGTTCAAATATTTATTAGTGAAGCTGCTTGATGGAGTGGAAACGGTGAGTCAGAAAACCTAAGTTCAAGTCCTACCTTTGCTACTTATTATCTGGTTGATTTTTGGCAAGATGTTTACCTTCTTTGACCTTCAGCTTCCTCATCTGTTAAAAAAAATGAGACTATTGGATAAAATCATATAAAACCAAGAGAAGGCAGTGTCTCGAAAACCAAAGAGATAACAGTATCCAAGAGGAGAAGATCACGTACATCAACAGACCTACAGACATGAGAGGAAACATGAGTATTGAGAAAAAGCCATCAGATTTGGAAACTAAGTGACTGGAGAAAATGGCCCAAGTTTCAGTGATGGGGCTGAAAACCAGACTGCAGAGGGTTTAAAAAAGAATGAGAGAAGAGGAAGTGAAGGCAGCAGGTGTAGGTTGCTCTTTTGAGGAGTTTAGCCAAGCAGGGGAAGAGAGATGTAGGGTGATAGCTAACAGCATTGGTCAATCAGGTGAGATTTTTTTTTAAGGGTAGAGAAGACATGGGCGGTGTTGTAAGTGGTTTGGAAAAAGAGTCAGTGGTTGAGGAGAGAATGAGAATGATAGTGGGGACAATCTGCTGGAAAAGAAGGGAGGGTGTGGAATCGATGATGTCTGTAGAGGAGTTGGCCTTGGCAAGGAGAAGGGCTCTCTCTTCATGGGATATAGGGGTGAAGAAGGAGTGATATGAGATGCAGAAGAGGGAAGAAGAAGGAGTTCTTGTCAATTTTGAGGGGAAAGTATTAGGTGATATCCTCAATTGAGAGAGAGGAGGGATGCTATGGGAGGCTTGAGGATAAGATATATAAAATGTAATATAAAAGTTTTTAAATTAAAAAAAAATCAAATTTTCAGAGAAAGCTCCAACAACTATGGGGAAGCAGGACAGGCTTTCTCTAAAAGGTGACACTTTGTGCTATGGATTCTGAGATGTAGATGAGGAAGGAATGCATTGTAGGTATGAAAGCAAAGGCATAGAAACAGGAGAATAATAGCAAGGAGGCCACCTTGGCTGGAGAAGACAATGTATGTAGGAGAACCTCATGCAGTAACCATGGAGAAGTAGGCAAGAGTCCTGTTTCCAGTCTTTCTTCTCTCCAACTTAATATTCCTAAGACACAAAGTAGGATCTACAATTCTTTTGATCAAAAATCTTTAACGCCCCTAAGGATAAAATGTAAACTCTTCGGTGTAGCATTTAAAGTGCCTTATAGTTTGGCTCCCATCTATCTTTCAGGCTTATTTTCAAGTAATTTCCTGTCACATCCTTTGCATTCCAGTCAAACTGGCCTATTAGTAAATCAACATCCTGTCCCCTGTCTTGGTCCTTTTGTATAAGCCTGGAATGCCTTCTTTTCATCCCCTATGGGAAGCCTTTCCTGATATCCTTGTTTGTGTTCTCTCCCTCTGTAAATTATCTTGAGTTCATTCGTTTTAAGCAGGTTGTATCCTCCCTCATCTCCACAACCTTCCCCAGTAGATTAAGTTCCTTAAAAGAAGGAATTGTTTTGTTTGTTTCCCAAGTGTTTACTGCATAACCCGCCAGGACCAAGGACAGGTTCTTGGGCCACACCCTTAATAAGGACGGGGGCAGGAGAACCCTGCATGTGTGAAGGGAACCAAGAAGGAGAAGGACAATAGGGTCATGCAAGGGAGGACACACTATCCATAAGGAGTAGTGTTTTGTTTTTTTTAGGTACTAATTGATGCTTAATAAATGTTTGCTGAATTGAATGAAATCATACAGGCAGCCTCCCTGCCCTGGACTGGTGCCATAGATGGTAACCTTTGATGGATGTCATACATTGAGTGCTTGTAAATATATCATGAGAGTGTAAAAAATAAGACCCGTACTTTATGGATGTGCTTCTTACTAGCTACATTACTTTAACCAATTCACTTAACCTCAAAGAGAGCCTAAATTTCTTCTTCTGGAGACTCTTGCGGTTCTGTTACTTTAGCCAACCTTACCCAGGCTGCCCTCCAGTCCTGCTGCCATAGGCAGGGCTAGGTAGACCTGGCTTGCAGACTTCTCATTTACCATACAGATAGCACAGAGAATGACAGGTGTGTCTCTGTCCTCCTCGTATCATTAAAAAAGCACTGAGAGCCAAGAGACCTGAGTTCTCTCCAGAATCCTGCTCCAGAATAGCGCAGTGACCTCAGACAAGTCATGTAACAATTCTAAGCCTCGGTTCCTCATCTATAAAATGGGATGACTATGCATATTCTACCTAATTCAAAACATTGTTTTGAGGATCAGAGGGAATTATATATAGGATCATAGATTTGGAAAGGACCCCAGAAGTCATCTAGTGCAAACCCTACCCAGCCCTGTCTTCTGTGTGCAAGTCATTTGAAAGGAGACAATGCCATACAAATGCAAAGGATTGTTATGTTACTCATTTAGAGATGAAATATGTTTCTGATTGTAATTGATGCCCCAGAATGAGTTAGGTATTCCTCACTTGTTATGATCATAAGGAATACTCAAAAGAATGGACTAGTTGTTAGGAGACATGGGTTCTGAACCTAATTTTGCCACTATCTGTGTGTGTGTAATCTTGTACAAATGACTTCATTTCTCTGGGTCTTTGTCTCCTCATCCATGAAATGGGATGGTTAAATACATGAAGTCTGAGTCTGCCCAGCCCCAAAATTCTGTGATCCAACTCAAGTCCCATCTCCTACAAAAAGCCTCTCCTGATTTCCTTCAGTTGTTACTGGTCTCGTCACTCAAAATTAACGTGTATTTATTTTTAAAACATTTTATATTTACTAACCTGGGTATGTGTTGGTCTCTTATCCCTCCTCCTCCAGTAAGTTCCTTAAGGGTAGGGATTGTTTTTTATTTTCTTTGTATCCCTAGCACTAAGTGCAGAGCCCAGCACATAGTAGGCAGTTATTCAAGTAGTGAGCAAGCATTTATTATGTTTTAGGGACTATGCTGAGAGTTGGAATATAAAGACAAAAATGAAGTATCCCCTGCATTCATGAAGCTTATATTAATAAGTATTTGTTGAATTTAATTTAATTCTTGATATCACGATGTAATAGAAAGAGCTCAGGTTTTAGAGATGTAGGACCTGCATTCAAATCCTGGGCTGTGTGACATTGTGTGGCCTGTGTGACATTGGGCAAATCATTTAACCTCTAGGCTTCATTTTCATCTGTAAAATGGGCATAATAATAAAGCCCTTCTGAGACTCTGACATCACTACAAGATGGTTTAACCTTTTGGAAATATATTGGTGTAATGGAGTGAGCACCAGACTAGAACTCAGGAAATTTGGGTTGCAGTCCTGGCTGTCTTATTTATTCCCTATATGTTATTTTGACAAATGACTTCACCTCTCTGGTCCCATGTTCTTTACCTGTAAAAAAAGAAGGAAACAAACACTTATGCCAAGCACTGTGCCAAACGCTTTACAAATATTATCTTATTTGATCCTCATACAAACCCTGGGAAGTAGGTACTATTATTATCCTCATTTTACACTTGGGGAAACTGAGGCAGACAGCAGTGGAAAACCTTGTCCAGGGTCACTCAGCTAGTAAACATCTAAAGCTGGATTTGAACTTGGGCTTTCCTGACTCCGGAGCTCATGCTCAGCACTGTGTAGCTGCCTCTCATAATCTGTGAGATGAGGGGGTTAAAACTAGATGACCTCTAAGGCCCCATTTAATTTTATGTTCTGTAATAGAATGAGGATAATAATTCTCACACCTCCTATATTACAAGGTTATCATGGGGAATATGTTTTGCAAACCTTAAAGCATTATGTGATGAGTCTTCCTTAATCTTAGTGCCTTCTTTCTGTATTATTTCCAATTTAGACTGACTGTGTCTTGTTTGAACATGGTTATTTGTATATCATCTTTTCCTTTAGACTGTGAGCTCCTTAGGAGCGAAGACTGTCTTCTGCCTTTCTTTGTTTCTCCAGTGCTTAGCAAATATAGTGGGCACTTAAGAAATGCTGATAAGGATGATAAAGTTAGGCTTCCTCAGAGGACCATCTGGTACTAGCCTGTTTATCTTTTCTCATGAAGAGGAGGTAATAGCAGTAGCGTGCCATCACTGGAAATTCTGCCTATCATCCTCATATCATCTGGACTTGCCTGCTTTATGAAGTCTAATCACCTCTAGCCAAGGAACAGACAATAGGGAACATTTTACTCTTGGGCTTCAAACACGCCCCATTTTCCATTGGATATTCCTCAGAAATCTGTCCTTGGGATGGGAAGCAGTGCAGTACAATGGTAAGCACACTTAACTCTGGAGGAAGAAGACCTGGGTTCAAATCCCATCTCTGACACTTCGTGCCTTTGAGACCTCGGACAAGTCACTTAAACTCCTTCGATCTCAGTTTCCTCCCCAAAATGGAAGAGCTGGCTTAGATGGCCTCCAGGGTCCCCACCAGCTATAAATATATGATCCTGGTTGAGGCAAAAGACCTAGGAATGTTTGTTTAACCTTTCAGTCGAAATCTGAACTGGGCCATGCTTGATTGAGATAGCAGCTACCCAATGAATGTTTTCCATCATGTCAGGTTGATTGCAGTATTACAAAAATTCCTTTACTTGATTCAAGCAAGTTTCATTTTCTCCTATCTCAGATGGCCTTCTGTTTGGTAATTTTCACCAGGATATGACTGATAAAAGACCTGATTCTCCCATACTTCAGCAGGGACGTGCTTCTTTAAAGTCTCTTGGAAAATGTCCAGCCAGTCATCTTGAAGAGAATGTGTCATAGAATCATAGACCTCGAGCTGGGAGACTCTTGGAGGTCGTCCAGCCCAGCGGCCTCATTTTTCAGATGAGGAAACTGAAGCGCAGAGAAATCAAATGATTTTCCCAAGGTCACATAGGTAATAAGTGGCAAAGTGGCAAAATTAGCATCACCTTTGTCTTTTTACATAAAACCATTCCTACTGATAATACCTGGGTAGGTTTTTAAACAATTACAGCTCTTTAGTTTTAGAATCATGAAGTAGTCATGGTTTGTACAAAATTTACTTTTGAGGGGCGTTTAATTGATGAATAGGACACAGACCCTGCAGAATGACTGTTCTTCATTATGGCTTCCCCAAAGAGTAGCTGCAAAGCAGAGTGCTAGTGAGATTAATTCTTTCACTTTGTAATACTTTAATATGAATATTTTTAATAGTCATTAAAAAGTGTTGACTAAAATTTTCAGAAATATTCATCCATAATTGAGATCGAGATTCTTTTCAAGGATGGTGTCTTGAATCTATTACAGTATAGAATTTACAGCTGTATTAGGAAAATAGATATTTAGCTTTTTATTTTTAAAAATCTTACTAATACTGTTTGTTTTTATATCTCCTTCTTTTCTTAAGATGTCCCTTTGCCCCATTGCACGCAGCAAGTCACCTCTTGTAACAAAGGAGTAAAAAGAAAGAGGGACAAAAACAATTTAGTCAGGGCAGCTAGGTAGCATAGTGGATAGAGCACCGGCCCTGGATTCAGGAGGACCTGAGTTCAAATCTGGCTTCAAACACATAACATTTACTAGCTATGTGACCCTGGGCAAGTCACTTAACCTCATTGCCTAGCCAAAAAAAAACAAAAACAAAAACAAACCAATTTAGTCAAATTACACCAACATATCAACTGGGTCTCGACAATGCAGGCAGTGTTCCCTATCCGTAGTCCCCCCACCTCTGCTAAGAAAGGAAGCAGGCATAGCACTTGCGTTTTTAAAAATGCAAAACATGATTGAATATATTTTAGCAGTGTTGATAGCAGTTTTCTATGTACTAGTTTAATTCTTTTTATGAGAGAGCTAATAACTGAGGCAAATTATTGTTTTTCGTATAGGTACTATTACGTTATGATGTACATACAACAACATACCCTTATTCGTACATCACTCTATATGGTACATAGTGTCAGCAGTATAAAGTTGGTAACATTTTCATTAATTTTTTTGAAATGAAATATTTTAAAACTATGATTTAATGTTACAATTTAAATGTTTAATTGTTACAATCTCAAACTCACCGTCATGCCTTGAAGAAAAAAATGGCAAGTAAAAGAGATTTTCTTACATCAAAATTATTTTAGGATCCCTGTTCCAAAGTTTGTATTTTTCCTTCTTAATTTCCATAGACTGTTTTTTAAAGTGAGCATCTTTGTGTTTGAACCCCTTTCTCATCCCCCCCATGTAATGTTATAAGCAGGGAAAATTTCTCTCTCTTTATTTAGGAAGTTGGTGCCAAACATTTTCCCCTTGGGCTTTGCCACTGTTCTACCTTGCCAACTGAAGCTGTGACCTTAAGTTCAGGTCAGGTATTTCAATATCCCTTCTGACTCAAACCCATTTTTCTTCCCTGAACTCAAACACTTAAGTGCTAAAGTCTTAATTCAATTAACATGCCAGTGAAAAGATTTACTGTTTTCTAATACTTTCAAGAACATGTTTTTCATTCTCTTCATTAATGCAGCCTGATTGCCAAGGACTGAAATTGTGAATTTTGATCACTTAAGTGATCTGGATTGGCTTTCTATATGAAATTCACTGGATCAGGTTACTCAGTTTTCTTCAACTTATTGTGGTTTTTTTTTTCCTTTGTTTTTCTGTTAGTGACATTGGAGCCATGTAGACCTGAATAATGACAAATAGTCTTTGCATCTAACCTTTTCTACTATGTGACAAACCATGTAATTAAGAAAAAAAAATCACCCATTGTAAATTTCATTCAAGGAATATAAAGTTCAGCAAAAATATACCTTATGAATAAAATCTATATAATGTAGGAAAGTCACGAAATGTCCTTGGATAATCACTTGGAAGGATGCTGAAAGGCCAGCTTTTAAAAAAATTAATGGCCTGAAAAATATTTACAAAGGATTAGGAAACACACTAATAACTTCACTGGTGTGTTATTGCTTCAGGAATTTATTAAGAGTTTGAGTCAAGAAGAAAAATTAGGTGCAATTTTCTTGCTCACATTGTTGTCCCCGAATCATCAATTCGCTAGGAAATCTCTTTTGATTTTATCTGCAAAGACTTGGTTTAATTTAATTATACTGTTGTAAATGTCAGTATCCAGCTCTTCTTACTGTCTTTATCTCAAATAAAGGTAAACTCCTTGATGGTAGAGATTGCTTAATTTTTGTTTTTGTATCCCATGTTTCACACACAGAAGCATGTACCAAATTATTTACCATAGGCCTTAGAGACTTCAAGAAAATAGTGCCCATTTATTTGAAAGATCTCTCTTCCCTTCCCTTTCCCATTTTAGCTATTATTACATAGTTTCTGCTTTGGTTCCCATTTGATACGTTACCCAGTTGGTGTATCTGGTACTAGATTTGAGTGATAAGATGACTAGCAAAACCAGTGAATTGAGGTATTTAATCTTGATAACTTAATGCCCACCCCCAAATCAATGATCCCTTCTATGTTCCATGCTACCCTTTTCTCAAATTTATAATTGTGCCGCACAGTGTTGGTGAAGGACAGTCTTGTTGATATATTTTTGAGAAAAGATTTTTGGATAACTCAGTGAAACAACAAGATTAAACACTCACTATGTGTTACATGCAGTGCTTGGCAATGGGGATACAATGAAGTGAATAAAAGAATCTTTACTCACAAGGAGTTTATATTCTCAGTTATTCATATAATTTACAAAATTTTCTGCTTTTCTAACCAGGATTGGCCTAAGTCTTAAAATGTTGGACATACTGTTAAACACATAAAAGAGCAAAATTTTTAAAAAATTACCCCCTCAGAATATTTTATTATCTGAAAAATGTTGTTCATCCTTTGTTTTTGAAGGAGACCAATGACATCACCAAAAGTTAAATGGCTTTAAGCTTTTCCCATCCTCAGTGTTTTGCAAAGCACAAGGATGGTGATGGCAAACATTTTCATAGTTCAGGATATGTTGGGTTAAGGAGAAAATCTTATATTAATATTTGAAAGAATATAAAAGGCAGGGTTCAATATGGCAGAAAAACCCAATCTGTACTTTATTTTAGCCAAAGCCTGTCAGAGACGATTTATTAATGTGGAAGAATTTCTGCTTGGAGAGAAGTTCAGAGTTTCCTCCACTAATCAGGATGTATTCTTTCTTCCTGGCAACTTTCCAGCTTATATTTTATGATGCTCATGTAACAAAGGACAAAGTAAAATGGAGATGCATAGTTAGTGAAATATTTTTTGACTTACTAAACAGAGCAATAGTATTGTTAATGCCAGCTCTTGGCATCCTGGGAGAAAATGTCATTCAGAAACTAATCATCCCCTCTTTAACTGTTCCCCTTTCAACCTATCCAAATGTGAACAGAGAGATACCTCTCTAATTGAGTTAAACAAAGTTTAGTCACCATAAACAAGACTGTCTCTTAATTTCAGGAAATTGTGGTTCATCCTTGAAACTGATAAAGTAACAATTATTTAGAAAGTGCTTTAAGGTTTGCAAAGCACTTAATCTCTATTTTCTCATTTGATCCTCAAAACAGTCCTGTGCTTTTATTAGCTCCATTTTACAGATGAGAGATCTGAAACTGAGAAGGGTTAAAAGCCTTGCCCAGGGTCATATAGCTAGCTTCTGATGCAGTATTAGGATGCAGGCTTGTTATTCAAGGAAGACTAATGAGACCAAAGACACTGTCCATAGTATTATTTCTTAATATCTATAACAACTGAAATCTTAGTACTATGTGCTTCAATAAAATATAGGTGTATATATATATGTGTATATATATGTCTTAAAAACTATATCCTTTTACTGCATGCTAAGTTTTAGACCTGATGATGTAGCTTAGTATCTTTTACAGTTACTAAATATAATTTGATGGAATCACAAACTCAGAAGAGATGTTAGAGATGAGTTAAAACAGAGCCCTCATTTTACAGATGAGAAAACAGATCCAGAGAAGCTAACATTGATGGGGTTAGAGATTGGCTCACATACTGGCTTTGTGACCCTGGGCAGGCTATTTAACTTAATAGTACTCTAACCAGTTAGATGAGGAGTTTTGGCCATGTCCATTCACAAAATTTATCTCCTAAAATGTCAAGAAATTGTGATCTACAAAGGTGGAGGAATGAATGAAAAGCATTTTCTATGTACAAAATCATGGTAGTTGAAATAAATATAGAACCAGTGACTAACTTGGTTAATGATTTCATTTTAGATTCCACGACATGAAACTATCTGTAACTACCAAGTACATTGAGAAAGTTTGTTTCCTAATTAAATTCTTCCTATTGATTCTTCACATCTTTCTGGTTTAAAAAACACTCCCTTTGCATTTTTATGTCATAGTTGTTTTCTGATATGCCTAACCCCCAATGAACCTTTCCTTGAAATGAAGAAAAAAATTAAGCAAAACCAACAAAGAGACCACATCAAACAGTATATTCTATCCCTTGTGTCCTCAGCCTCTCTAGTGAGGGGAATGAAATGTTTCCTTATTTTTATGATTAAGGCCAATAATTGCAATTACTGTTGTCATCTTTTTGCAAAATATTCCAAATTGTAACCATCATGTAAGTTTTTGTGAAAGTTGAATGAAAGCCCAGGTAGACTGTGACTCTCAAATAAATATATGATGAGTTACATTATTTTAGAATCCTTTGCAGTAAAGCAATTTACTAGATTTTGCCCCCTGGTGTCCACATACCTTTCTTTCCAAGACGTCTTTTACCTTAAAGTAATTTACTTACCCTTGGGATAGTAGCCAGCTCTTTAATAGAAGCATAAAATTTTAGGGCTAGAAGGTACTTTAAAAGTCGCTGAATCTTACCCCTTCATTTTATAGATGAAGCATCTGGGTCCCAATACAAACCAAAAATTTCCTAAGATCAACAGCCAATATCAGTTGAATACAAGTTATCATAGCAGCAGCTCACTTCTATTATTGGCTTTCAGCTTTAATTCAATTCAGTAATTCAGTAAACATTTATGAAGCACCTACTATATGCCAGGCACTGTGCTAAGCCCTGGGGATACAAAAAGAGGCAAAAGACGATCCCTGCCCTCAAGGAGCCTACAGTCTACAAAATACTTTCACCAAAACAACCCAGGACAGACCTTAAAGTTTTCAAAATATAGTACATGCATTATCTCATTCAATCTTCACAACTCTATGAGTATCTCGATTTGTTATTTTCACCATTTTACAGATGGTGAAACTAAGGCTTAGACAGGTAGTACTTAGGCTCTTAGTAAGTGTCTGAAGTGGGTCTTTCTGACTTAAAGCTCCATCTCCCTGAGCTACCTGTCTAGGAAGTATAAATGTGATTATCCCCTCTTAATAGATTAAAAAGTTAGAACTCTGAGAGATTAAGTGATTCATCTAAGGTCTGTCACTATTAAATAGCAAAACCAGGACTTAAATCTATGTCTATATGCTGGATTTAGTATCGGGGGACCTGGGTTTAAATCTTGGCCCTGCCACTTAATACCTTGTGTGTGACTTTGGACACACAGAGATTGACTTCTTTGACCCTCAGTTTCCTTATTAATAGAATGAAAGGGGTAGATTAAATGACCTCTAAGGTGCCTTCTAGATCTCAATTTACAACTCTGTGATCCCCCTGACTTCCATTTTAATGCTCTTTCTACCATATTGAAACATTATGTAGAAAATCACCTCAACGAGAGAGAATGAATGTCCATGTATTCAAAATTGATTAAATACCTACAATGTGCCAGGCAGTACACTAGGTACTGGTGATTCCAAGGCAAATCAGAAACAGTGCCTGCCCTCCAGGAGCTTGTGTTCCATTTTTATAGGGCAAGAACTGTGTTAAGTGTGTTAATGCTGAGCATAACACAACAATGCTAAGCAACCTAGGGGCATTCAAAAATATTAAATAGTAGTTCTGAAGAGAGAAAAATTGATGTTAGTAGTAAAATTATTGTACAGTTTTAGACCAATTGACTGCAATGCCGTAGTGGTCTTGGCAAGGGTTAAGTGCTAGGTATGTCAGCTTTCTGTGAGGAGGCATTTACTTAGTTGGCATGACAATTGAGTGTTGAAATGTTTCCCTCTTTTCTTCAACAGCTAGCCAAATTCCGAAGTCTCCTGTACACTGCAGAGGGTGAGGCAGCTGCCTTCTTGTTGAGCAACTACCGTCCGCCACAACCTCTGAAGGGCCGCAAAGTGAGAGCTTCGTTCCGCTAAAAGTTTCCTCTGAAGACAGCTGGAACAGATGGGATTGTGGAAGTACCTTCCCTTTAAATTCACCTGGAGTGCTTTGCGTGAACCTTAGTTTGTGGGCACAACTGTTTCGTGACTGGGCAGAAGCCCTGAATTTATTCATGACAAAAGAGCACTTCTCTGGATCTTTAAGGCAAAATATAATTTGGCCACCCCAGATTGGCACGTTAGCACTCATGCGTTAAATGTTGTTTGTCTTCTCTCAGACTGTGAAGTACCTTCGTGTCCATTGGTGAGAAAGTATCCCAGACAATGCGCCTTGCCGGGGAAGCCAAATTGCTCATTTCTCTTAAGGAATTTCTAGTTAAAAACTTAATGTCATGTCTTTAATGTTAGGATTTTACTAGCCCTAAGTATTTTAATTTGTAACCTGTGGGTGCTATATCCTTTTAAAATAAACCCATTGTCTTAATCGCTGATTTAAATATTTGGAATCTTTTTTTTTATTTTTAAGGATAATATATTAGTCATTGAGGAACACGGACCAAACTATATTAAATGAATATGTCGGAGAGAGTTAGCATGGATTGGTGGATGTAGAGCTTCCATCTAATCAGTAGAACCTGGGTTCGAGCCCTGCTCTAACCCTGGGCAAGTCACTTAACCTCTCAATGCCCCAGACTATTCTCTATACCTACTGTGGGTTGCAGAACAGTTGCTATCTAGTGGAGGGAATTCTCTGGAGGGATGAAATCCAGGCCAAATAAAATAAATCAAAGAGCCCAGAGGCCAACAATAACTAATAAAATATCACAAAGTAGTCTACTAATTATATTATAAAGAATAAATCATACTTGACACTATATTTGGCTTCTGCCATAAAAAACACATTTTTATTTTCTCATTTAGAAACAAACATTAGAAATTTAAACAGTGTGTGGATTTCTCCGTGATCTTATAAAGTGACTTTCATAGGCCTCATAATTTCACAGGCAGAACTGCTCCGAGAGTATGGCAATAAAAGTAAGGACCCATTGGCTCTAGGCTTTCTTTCCCCCAACATATAACATACTTTGTTGGCTATTGGGCAATGACTCAAGGAGCTAATCCTATTCAGAGAAAGGGTGGAGGTGGGAGTAGGTAAAGAACTGACTGTACAGATTTCTTAGCTGGTGCTAAAATTACCTGAAATTCATGTGTGAACCCTGTCTACAAATTTTGGGGGTACAGCCACCCCACTCCATTTCCACACTTGCCCTTTGGTGAGTAATTGTTATGGTCTCCCCCTGGCTTCTCTAGATGTTCACTTTATTTTAACTTGATATAACTTGGTATTAAAAGGCTCCTCTGGGTCCACCCCAATTCACTTTCACTATTAAATGAATTAAATGACACTAACTAGAATATTTAACTGTCTCCAGATGGCTATAATTAATTTTCTTTCTTGTCTTTTGGAAGAAGTGTTGATTCTGTAGGATTGTGTTTCTTTGATTTTGCAAATTTGTTTAATATTTTGTTCTTTTTTTGAAAATGGGTTTTAACATATGAATTTGTTTTGGAATATTTTCTGAGATATAATAACTTGGTGTTAAAATATGTAATTGTAACATTGCGTCTCATATTTTGGTTCAGTTTAATGTGAAATTCTTTGACAAATTTATAGTTCTTTTTGAGACTAATATACCAAGAGTTAATTTAATGTTAAAAAAAACAAAACCTCAGGTCAAATGTCCTTATGGTATTGTTTTAAAAAAGGGAATTCTGATTAAATTCTGATTAATTGAGCTTGTGTACATGCTTTTGATATAGAATTATTCTTTAAAAAATACCTGTGTTGAAGAAAGAAACTAATTTGAAAAAGTTAACTGTGAAGTGTTATAGTTGGTGAAATAGCCTTGTTTTCCTAAGAAAATCTAGGAATACACATCAGGAGTGTATATAAGAATATAACCCTAATTGTGGTGTTCATGGATTGCTGTTTCAATATCATATTTTTTTCCACTGCAGTAGTGGAAGTGCAGTACATCTGTACTGTTACAAATTATATGTTAGGTGACTCTAAAAAAAAAAAAACAAGCCCAGAAACAAAACAAAAAAACCCACCCAGAATTGATCTCTCTGAGATTGGGCAGCTATAATATCTTTATCTCCTATAAACAACAACAAAAAATTAAGTCTGAATTAACCAAATAAGCAGAAATGATCCATTGTTTTAGCCACATTTTTATATTGTCATATCTATCCTTTATACCTCACTGAATTTATTTATTGAATGTTATCTATTGGCCACTTTGTCAAGATTTTAGCACTTTAATTTCAATTCTAACATGAAATCTAATGTAAAAAAAAGCTGAAACTATTAGCTAAGTAGTCAAAGGTTACTGATGCGTGGTGTAATGATAGGTAGCTAGCATTTATATAAATGAAAAGCACTTTACACCTTCAATCTCATTTGATCATCCCAGCAACCCTGGGAGATAAATGGTAGTATTATCCCCATTTTATAGGTGAGAAAACCGAGGCTGGGAGAGATTAAATGATTTGCCCAGAGTTAACACAAGTAAGTGCCAAGCCCAACACTATCTATTGTGCCACCTAGCAGCCTGAAGTACTGTCTAGAGTTGCATTTTTAGAGATGGTTTGTGTCCTTATATATACTGCCTTTGAAAAATTTCTTTCCTCTGTCATAAAATGGCTAAATATGAGACTTTGGAGACACTTAGAATTTTTTTTGTTTTTGTTTTTGTTTTACTATTTGGGATTGTTCCATTCCTGTAACCATGGAATGGAATGCTTTCTGTCTGCCAGGGTAGGAAGGAATGAACCTACCTGGGGAGGGCTACAAAGCACTACAGTGGTGTGATTTCAGGGGCAAAAAAGCTCTCCCTAACTCATATAATTTCTCCCTGGTTGTCAATGCCAAAAATTCTAGTTCAGGAATTTGGAAGTTTTGTTCTCTTTTCAAATGCAGATCCTCCTGAGAGAGAACTCTTTATATCCATCGAAGTATATACTTATTAAAAGCCCCGTGGTGTAATTTAATGGGTGCTGGTCTTGGAAAAGAGAAAGTCCTGTATTCAAATCTTACCTTTGAAACTTAACTAGCTCTATGATCATGGT